GTCCCATAAAACTCATGCTAGGTCTTGGAATAATCCTATTAATCACATGTGATTTGTTTTAACAACATTTAACACCATTTTCATGAAGATTAAGGAGTTTACGGCCAGGAGCCTATACTAGGCCGTAAACTCCCATAAAATAATCATTTTGATGATTTTAATTCATTCCAAGTGTTCCAATGCATTTTAGAAAATCCATTCTAGCAATCCCCATGTCCATTTAAGCCCTTAAATCATCAAAACCACACCAACATGAGTTTACGGCCGTAAACTCATGTGTGAGTTTGTTTTATGGTTGTAAACTCATTTAAATGTTTACTTATGGAGAGTAAACTCAAGTCCCAAGTCCCTAGTGCCATTACAAGTCCGAAGATGTCACCCGGGTCTCTCCAAACACTCGTATCGGAGTGTTTTCGCGACTTGAAGCAATTGTCCCTATCCAACAATCAATCTAAGTCCTAACTAGATAAAAATGTGTATCTTTACATCATAATTAGGAACCTCGTGTGTTTACAAGTCCCGGATCCACTCTTAGCATCCAAACCGTCTCATATCTCGTCCGGTGAGTTCATACCCCCACCATTTTTCAACTGTTTTCACTGTTTTCAGGGGGGGAATACAAGCAAAAGTACAAGGAAATCTTGTACTCAAACTTATTGTTTTCAGTTTAATCGTTTTCATTCTGTATGTTCTAATATCAATAACTGTGTTTATCAAATAGTTCGAATTTCGAATTTAGCCTTCAAACTAATCATAAATTTATCGATAAAATGTTCTAATCTAAACTATGATTCATAATCTACGAATAACTTCTACTAATTTTCAATTATAACTAATTACGAATACGAAAACGAATACAAAGCTGTAACTAGGAATGGATAACGAAACTATAATTAGGAACAGAATGAATACGAATACGAATACGACTGCGAATACGAATACGAATACGAATAGTATTAGGAGTAGGATTAGGGATAGGAATGCGACTACGAATACGAATACGAATACGACTGCGAATACGAAGACGAATACGAATACGACTGCGAATAGTATTAGGAGTAGGATTAGGAATAGGAATGCGACTACGAATACGAATACGAATACGACTGCGAATACGAATACGAATACGAATAGTAATAGGAGTAGGAATAAGGAAATGAATACAGTAACGAATACGAATACAAATATGAATAAGTACAATCATAACTAATTAAGAATAAGAACACGAGTATGAAGATGTGAATTTAAGTACATTCCGAAATATTACCATTAGGATATCAGCATAACTAGATAATACAATAGGTACGAATGGAAATAAATCAGTATATTGAAGTTCAATAACTAACAATTACTTTTAGGAAAGTATGGGACTTTCCTGGGGAAAACAAAACATTACCTAATCACGTGTATATCTTTTACACCTTTAACATCTTTCACATTAGAAACCAACATGCAGGAAAACATGGGGCTTCCCTGGGTAACACTTATATAACTAGAAAGAGTAGCAAATTGAATAACATTACATATTTCACAACTACTAATGTACAATTAGGAAAGTATGGGACTTTCCTGGGTTCATAGTTAAACATAACCAGAATCGTGTAACCTAACAATCGATTAACCTTCTCTATTAAGAAAATATGGGATTTTCTTGGATAAAAACTTTTCGATAAACTAAAGGAAACTCGTACATTTTCACAAAGCAAACATCTTATGAACTCACCAGCTTTATGCTGATTTTCAAATTGCTTGTATTCTCAGGTCCATATTAGATAGGTACCTAGCGAATCTTTTGGAGAAGATGGAGCGTACAGAAGACTCGTCTCTACTTTTTTTCATATGATATATATGTATAATACTTGTAACACTTTACTTTTGAACAAATGTAAACTCTGATATGTAATGTAATGGTTGTTTACTTTGCTTACTATGTACATTGGATTTGATACTCAACTTGGTAGTCCACTCCGGAGACGTTTCCGCCTTCGGTTTTCGGGGTGTGACATTACTCTCCCTTGAAGTCCAACAACCCTAACTTTCGGTTGTGAGAGAGTTGGAGAGCATTTGGAGCCTTTGTGGAGGGAATCTTGGGGAGAAATCAAAGAACAAGAAGGTTGGAGCAAAGGGCTTTCTAGGGATTTAGCTTTTTCATCAGTTGGAGCTTTCATTTGAGGTAACAATCTGCTGTTTGAGCTTTTTTGCATCTAGCTCTATCATTTGTGGGGTTTTTGTGGCATAAATCAGGCCCATCTCAAGTTTGGTGTAAGATCTGAGGTTGCTACCTCAGATCTAGGTTGTTAATAATCTAGAAAGCCATAAAGTCTATGCTCAAGAGTTGTTGGTGAAGTTCTTTTGTCCCAAAACCCTAGCCCTAGAGTATATTATGCTTAGATCTCTTTGGATTCACGTAAAGTTTGCCACTTTACGTGATGGATGGCTTGTAGAAGACTAGATCTATGAATTTGAGACCCTGCATGGCTTGGAAAGCCTCTGTATGGGTTAAGAGCTAGTGGTACTCGGCGAGTCACATGGGTGTACTCCGCGAGTTGTATGAAGATAGGCAGAAACTCGATGAGTTGGAAGAACAACTCGGCGAGTTGGTTGAAGATAGCCTTGGACTCGGCAAGTCTGTTCTTGGACTCGGTGAGTCTGGTCGTGAGGACCTAACCTTTCCTGGTTGAGCCGTGAATCGGTGAGTCAAGGGACAACTCGGTGAGTTGATCAGGAAGTGACTCAGAGTTCGTGGGACTTAGCAAGTCATGGGGCGACTCGGCGAGTTGGGTCGCGATACGGGAGTTTTCAAAGTTAAGGGTCTCGACGAGTCAACGGGCTGACTAGGCGAGTAGGGTCAGTCAGGAAGTTTGACTTTGACTGAGGACTTTGACTTTGACCAAGAGTTGACAAGTTGACTTCCAGGGGTAATTTGGTAATTATTGGTATTTATTGGTTTCGGTGATTCAGTGGTGGGGTTCGTGACGGTGGTTGGAGCAGAGTGATCTTGTTCTTCAGTCGGAAGTAGCAGGTGAGTCTCCTCACTATACGTTACCTTGAGTGGTAGTTATGTGTGATTGGAGGGTCTTATGTGCTTACATTGAGTATTATGTTATATGTGATATGCTATCCATCATGTCTTTGTGATTTATGCTATGCGGAGTTTATAGACTGGACCAGAGGGTCCAACGAGACCGGACCGGAAGGTCCAACGATATGGAACTGGAGGGTTCCGCTGAGACACACCGACCGGAGGGTCTTATTGTAGCCTTGAGTGACGTATGTGTTGAATCTGGTATTTTGGGGAACTCACTAAGCTTCGTGCTTACCATGTTATGTGCTATGTGTTTCAGGTTCTTCAGAATCGCGGGAACGCAGCGGCTCGATTGTACACACACAAGAGAAAAGAATGATGAATTCAGATCCTGGAATTCCATAATGTTCTGAAAACCTTGTTGATGATTTTCGAATAAAAAATAAAATGTTTATATGGAACAATGTGCATTTTAATGAAATAAAAATGAATAAAATAAATTTAAAAATTTTCGGCGTTACAACGAGGGTGAGGAAGGCGCTATTGTTAAGGGGTGGGGATAGAGGCAAAAGTCTAAGGAGTTTGATAGTAATTGTGGTAATAGGGTTGGTGGTGGTTGTAGTTTAAAAGAAGATAAATCAAATATCCGCTTATTTATTTTTCTAATTGTTTGAAATGATGACGAGTGTTTGATTTCATGTCACTACTAGAAAAACAGCCTTTTACGACGCTCATTGCGCGCCGTAAAAGGCTTAGACGACGCGCAAATGCGCATCAAGGAAGGCCTTGTCATAAAGAGAGATGACGCTCATTTACGACGCGCGTTTACGACACGCAATGCGTATCAAGGAAGACCCTGTCATAAAGGAAGACGACACGCGTTCGTGTGTCGCAACCTTATGACGCGCGTGTTAATGACACGCAATGCGTGTCAAGAAAGCCCCTGTCAAGAAAGGCCATGTCATAAATGAAGATGATACAAATTTTTGCGTATCATAATTTTTTTTGTTTAAAAAAATATTATTTATAGATTTAATTATTTTCAAATTAAATTTGTATTTAATGTTTCATAATAGAAAATAAAATATCATATACAAAAAATAAAATCCATTGCCTAAATTTAATATCATACAAATAATCATTCCATGGAAAGATAAAATAAATCAATAGAAGTTGTAACAAAAATTTACAAACTAATAGTTCTAATAACCTAATGTGTGACTCACTGTAAACAAGATTTGTGCTGCTTTTTTTAAATGTGTGCCTCACTTGTCTCCACTCTTCCTTAGTAACACCGCTCAAGGACTCTAAATGTATGAAGTTGCTCAAAGTATCTATATTGCCTACAAAAAAAAACATTACTACAAAATAAGTGTGAAGATGGATTATTACAGTGTAGGAGAAGTAAAGAACCTTGAGCTTCCTCCAATGGGACAAATGGGTAGTCAAACTTGATAAACTTTGCAACACGTATATCTCCCAATGCAAGATCAACATTAAGGTAATGGGGAACAACATCACCTAAAATCATATAATATTTATATACCCGTAGACTAGATAGAGCTTTGCTACATATAGCAACCTACTTTATTTACTCTATTTACCAAACCAATGTATGGGAATGGAACCTACTTTACTTTACTCTCTTATGGTATATCAACATCATTAGGATTGGTTGTGTTTGCTATATTTTGGTAGAGGGCATTCATTCATTCATTCTCATGTGTTTTGCAAATAGAAGACATTATATTTAGATGACAGTTTTTTGCGTTTGGATGATAGACTAAAACTTAATAAATGAATGAATGAATGAGGATGACCTTTGATCTAAACTGAAGAGCTGGATCGGTACTTTGGGAAACAAGCCTAGCAAGTGGTAGCATCTCATCAATTTCAAAACGTGGAACCTCAAGCCTCATTCTCCAGCGACCCATAGAAGATATCACACTCCCTAAATTTCCAGCCATTGCTCTTCTTAGTAAGCCTCATTCTCCAGCAACACGTATTCGCCTTGAAGCTCATACTGGCTATTGCTTTGTTCCAAAACAACCTTCTCAATAGTTACCTGAACCAAACTAACATTAAACTCTCAAAGGGAAAATTAAATATATAACTATTATTTGAAACAAAACATCTGATTTAAATTAACTAATAACCAACTGTGGTGAAGTAGAAAGAGAGAATTCTGAAAAAATCAAAGAGTTGACTAATTCTGTAGACGTACCTACCTAAAACTTGTTCTCCATTTCCACCCGCAACCTACATATATAAAAAGATTAGACAAAAATTAAATAAAATTCTTTCATTTATTTTTCTTTTTCATAATCTTGTTATGCTGCCTCAACAAGGTTTCTAATTTGAGCCACCCGTCTGTTCACCAACTCCTGTGTGCTTCCATCACCATCAATGGTTGTTGTGTCTTTGGTTAACACCTACCTCCTCTCTGATTACAGTTCCTGCATGCAATAGAAATTTTAAAAGTTTAGGGACCAAATGTAGTCATATCGAATAGATGGAAGACAGATTTCGACCAGAACCCTTCTTTAAAAAACAACATATGAAATACTTGCCTCCAGTAAGAATAGCAATATCATCAAGATATTGACTTTTTCTGTCACCAAAACCAGGTGCTCTATAACTTACTTGAGATGACAGTTGCACCATCAGATTCAGGAAGCATGGCATGAATGACCATAAGAGATTTAAGTAAATATAATAAATTTCACCACCTGTATAGAAGGAAAAAAGTAAATATAATAATCTCACTCACTATAAAAACCAAGAAGTTAAATAGACTAGAAAAACATTTAGGTAACAAACAAACCACTGCAGTTGATGACATTGACAGGAAGCAACCAACAAAAACATCATCACACAACCCTGCTCCAAATAACTATAACCCATCATTAAATTAAGAAAATAATCATTCACTCAATTGAAACCATGTAACATAAATTGAGATCTGCTAAATAATCTCTAGGCTTACACCCCGGAAAGATAAAAGTCCTTCACCTTCACCTTTCTCATCCTTTGACTTTCTACTTGAGAACTGATTCTGGTCTTGTAAGTCAATGCTTGACATGGAGCTAGAGGGTAACATAGGAGCATCACTAGGAGGAATTGCTGACATGGAATAGCTTCTGAAGTGTCCAAATGAAAAAATAGGGGATGCTGATGTGGCGGAAGGGTTGACTTTTTTTGATGTGGAACGGATGCTTGAAGAGTTCATTTGAGGGGAGGGGGTTTAATGAAGGAGATGGAGAGGGAATAGAATTTTTTAAAGGGAGTAACCATTTTAATAAATCTCCACATGGATCTTGACTTGAGGGAATTATGGATTCTGTAGTTGTGTGATTTCTAAAACTGGATCTTTTAAACAGTCTACACCAATGTTTACTTTTAAAAGCACCTCCACCCTTCCAAACAACAAAATGGAATAGAAAATAAGTAATGATTATTTGCTCCCTTTGTTTGGATGAATGGAAAGGAATAGAATAGCAAATGAAAGGAATGGAATGGAATGAAACATTCCATTCCTTCTACGATTTAATCATACCAAACACAAAACAATGAGATAATTATAATAAACAAGGAATGGAATGGAAGGCAACTCCACCAGAAGTACTTCCATCAAGACTTCTCTAAACGTTTCCTGTGTTTTTCTTTTTGACCAAAAGTAGCTCATCTGACTCAACAGTTCGAGCAAAAAATTAGAAATTCCTAAATCTCTGCTGAATCATTTCGGTTTGTCTTCTGTGATCTTGCATTTTGAGAAGAGATTCACCAGTGGAAAGATCCTCTTTTGGGTCAGTCTTTTCATCCTAAATGTCATTAGAATTTTGACTTGTAACATGTGCATCAGGACTTGTAACTGTAGAAACAGGGGACCCATTGGCCTCACCGTTTTGCTTTTTGGCATTTGGGCCTATGCCATTTTTACTGATTACTTTAGCAACCTTGAAGGGTGTAATGCTAGTATATGAACCTGTTCTCCTGTAAACAAGAAAAAATGTAGTATTTTATATGGATAAGAAAGTCAGAGCAGTTATATTTAGGGGAATGTAATTCTCATTGATTGAAATGACAAATTACATGGAAAAAAATTCTTTTTATAGATAAAAATATTGACCTCTATAGCTCTATGTCTAAAACTAAATCAAAGAAGAGATTTAAGAAAGAATGTGTACCTAGGAAAACAAAGGGGCGACTAAATGCTTTAAAAGATAGTATATTTGGTTCTTCATTCCAACAGCCAGGAAGTTCCTCTACAAAAGTGATGTGCACCAATTAATCAATTATAAATCAGTATATGGTACATTTAAAACATGCATGCATATAAGAAAACTTTTGTCATCATGTAAGAGAGAGCATGTTGCCGACACATCACAAATTGACACATCCATTTCAATACACAATAGCCACACTCCTGATTATGCGAATGTTAAGCATGACAAGGTTTAATTTCATCTAAATATTGATAAACCACATACGTATTAACTATGAAGATGAAAAATATTCTCATACACACCTTACTAGTCTCATTACAGACATGTCCAATTAAACTATAGGCTACCAATGTTACAAAATTAGCATAGATACTAGACTAGATTATTAATTTCAGTTAATTCTCAGTTGGTGTTTTATTTTCACTTAATATCATATTATCTCACTATGAATATATTGGTCTTTCAGTTTAACAAAATTCATTAAACATTTCAAATAACAATTCAAGATTATCTGAATGAGAAGAGCAATACCATCCTAGTTGAGTTAATCAAGCGTTGTGCCAAGAAAGAGAAACACTAGATATAAAAATGAAGAAACCCTAGTCAATGTGACTCCTAAGATTAAGAGACACTAATTGATTTAGGCTCTAAAATTAACAAAGAAGTTGTGCTAGCATCCATGCTTGTACAATGAGATTAGAGAACTAACCAGTGAGTGCATACTCAGGAGCTAAGAAACTGATGGTTCCTGCTATGCGTGTATGCAAAGAATCAAGAAAAGAAACATAAAAAAAAGAACTTAATTAATTGACTAACAAGAAGACTTACTGGTTCAGTGATTTTATCTATATCAAAAAAAAATTATTTCAACCTTTTACAAAGTCAAAAGCGTCAAAACAAAATAAAACCCACCGATATTAGAATATGAATGAAATAGCGCTCACCCGAATATGATATCTATCCATTCATGTAAATGTGCAGAGACATGCTCACTCTCAAGAGCCATGCGATGCTTATGCACAAAATCAATAGGGATTTCGGCCCAAGGAGGAAGCTTAACACAATCTGAACATCGATGGTTGGCATGAGCGACGATTGAACATCGATAAAGACTTACATAACAGATGAACCTTCGATTAAACCTTCGATAGACTTGAAGATAAAGACTTATAGTTGCGGAGATGGTCGACGATTGAACATCAATGGTCGGCATGAGAGGAAGTCGAGCAAAACCAACAAATCGATCGAACAGGGAGAATAGATTGAGGGAGGGTTGTGTGATACAAACTCGAAACCTTAGTTCAAGCAATAATCGATTTTGTGGCCCTATGAATGTAAAGTGTTTGATATATTGTGAGAAATGAAGCGATAGAGATCGAGCTATGGAGAATGTGGGTCATTCTTTGAGGGATGAAAAAAACCCTACTTTCCTAGACTTTGCGAGGACGATCGATCTATGGAGGATGTGGGTCATTCTTTAGGGGATGAAAAAACCCTAGTTTCCTAGACTTTGTGAGGACGAGGTTTTCTAGTTTTTAGATTCCTGCAAGGTATTAAGGAGTGGCGGTGAAGTAGATCGGAGAGAGGAGAGAAGGAGGGAGAGGGGAGAGTAGTAGACTGCGAAGATGAAAGATAGTAAGAAGGCAGAAGACGGGTTTCAAAATTTTGGGGATTTCCTTTCCCCCTCTACTAAACCCGCGTTTCACTAAAATTATAAAGTGACGGGTATAGTGGACGCGCGTTAAAAATAAAGTGCCCTCCATGTTTTTAATTTCTTTTCTAGATACACTAATTTAAGGGCACTCAGTAATGCGCGACCTAAATTCTTAAATTTTTTGAGGAGATGACACTTTTTTAATGTCGCTCTCTAATGCGTAACATAAATCAAAGAGCGTCGTGCTTTGCGCGTCGTAAAAGGGTCTTTTTCTTGTAGTATGTATAGTTTTTTTTTATTTTGTGATATTAGGTTTCATTAACTTTATCAACCAAAACCAATTAACTTAAACGATTTTTTTATCATTAACCATTTTTAAAAGCAACTTTCTATTATTAACTAACTAACTTACACCATCTTCAATTATTCATCATTATTTTCATTAATCAAATTTATCATAGCAATTACTTTGCTATTCGAGGTACTTTCTTCTCGTTAGTGGTTTTCTTGTTAGTTTTTTTTTTATCCATAGTATGAACTTCATTTACTTAATCTGCAACATTGACATTTTTTATGCATAATATAATGTTGTGTAACTAGATGAATTTAATCTCCCAAAACATTGTTGAAAGTGAAAAATATGAGATAGTGTGATATTTTGTCTAGATATTTATGAGAAGATAAGATTTTGGCCAATAGATAATGATGAATTTTATGTATAAATGTCACATTCAAAAACGTTACGCTAAATTTAAACTTTTTAAATTATAAATAAAACTAAATAGTATTTTTGTTTTACAAAAATGTTTTCAAATCATTATTCATCAGAGTGCCCCAATAGCTAAATCAAAAGGATGAGGAACGGTAGGGTCATGCATTCGCCTTGCCATGATCTCCTGAAGTACCTGAAACAATAAATTGAAAATTGTAACCCCCAAGGGCTTAGTGAGCTACCCTCAAAATACCAATACCATGCTGATAATACCGAATCAATAACAGACAATCAATAACATGCATACTGGGCTATCGGCCTGACTGGACTGCCCTGCAGGGCCTTCAGTTTATCTGATCCTATCCCGAGCCTTCAGCATGAATGGACCGCCACATGGGCCTACAGTCTCCCCGGACCGCTCATAGGGTATGTTGGCCTTCAACACAAAGCAGGACCGCCGCAACCCAACCAACAAGCAAATAACGATGTGCGCATAACTATCATATACTAGCATATTCAAACATCAAACAAAGATATCTCACTAATCATCAATCTTAGAAATCTCTCGTAACTAGAGTAACCACCTAGCAGGTCACTAACAGACCAATCCCTACGGATCATAACAACATAATGTATTGTCTATCCTGATTCCGATCTAACAGATCATAACCACAAGTAGCACATCATAACAAGAACAACTTAAGGGCCGGCCTTGGTGCCATAGACCCCATTGATATAGTGAGGATAACTCACCTTACAGATGTCGACTCCGTAGACGAACTACAATTCTGGGATCACTGTCAAAAACTCCACCACCTATTACCATAGTATAATTATACCCATAAGTTCCCAAGCTTTCAAGGTACCCTAAAATCCAACTAATCAACCATGGTTAAAATCAAAGTCAAGGTCAAGTTCAACAGTCCATGTTGACCCTAACTCGCTGAGTACCCGCGGCTGAGAGACGAGCCATTGAAGTACTTGCCCAATCGCCGAGTCATAGAGAGACTCGTCGATTTCCTTTGGTTTACGATTGAACTCTAAGGCCACTCTTCGAGTTTCCTTCGTGCAACTCGACGGTTACACACGCATACATAAATTATGGAAACCTAAACCAACTCGCCGAGTTGTTCATATAACTCGTCGAGTTATATGGAAATCTTCATCGGACTCGCCGAGTTGTTCATTCAACTCGTCGGGTCCAGGCCTATCTTTATATGACTCGCTGAGTTAGCCTTCCGACTCGCCAAGTTCCTTCAGTCCTTAAGCAATACAGACTCTTTTAAGCCATGATGTGGCTCCAAATTATAGATCCAAGCTTCTAAGGCATGCATTTCACGTAAACGTGAAAACTTTACGTGCTTCAATGGCTAAAATGGCTCTTAATGTCAAATCGAAGCTCACAATGGGGGTTTCATAGTCAAGGAGGCTTCATACATGACGAGTAGGCCAGCTCCTACTTGTCGAGTTCTTCATGGACTTGGCGAGTAGGCGACTAAACAAGCGATCCCACCCCGCTACCACTCGACGAGGAGGGAAACCAACTGGCCCAGTAGCTCTAAAAACCAAACAAACTTTAATTTAAATCAATACCTGAGAAAAGGGTAGTTACAATAAAAGGATAAGTATTCATTGAA